GAGGGGCGGAGGGGAGGGCTGTGAGCGGAAGGGAGGCTCTGTGGAAGGGGTCACCCTGAGTTCACAGCTGGAGGAGAAGGAGAAGCCAGCAGCCCAGGGGTGGGAAGGAGGCACCAGGCTCCCCAATGAACAAAGGCGCCCCCTCCAGGGAAAACCTGACCCAGTGTCCACGGGGTGGGATGACAAATGGCCCTTCTGCCACCATCACGTGGAGCCAGGCTCATGGCTGTGCTTCCTGACCCAGGGGGCTGTCTTCTGCAAAAGCTGCTCCTGCTGGGGAGAGCAGGGAACAAAGAGCTCGATCTTTCCTCCTTCCAAGGGGTTCCCTGGCCCAGGCGTGGGGGCTCTGGGAAGTCGAGGGGCATCTTCCTCATTCACGCTCCCCCACCCTGCCAAAGCTCCCCGTGCAGGACCTAATGCACCACACAGGTCTCAAAGCGGCCCGAGATTTCCTTTCCAAGGATAAAGGCGCGCAGGAGGCAGCAGGGCAAAGCTGCGCCCTGTGCGCACTTCCACCGAGATGACAGCCCAGGCTGCTTGTGGGGCACGTCGGACCTTCCTAGGACCTTCCTAGCACGGGAAGCCTGAGCTGAGCAGTCCTGACGCAGGCTTGGAGGCTCCAGGCTTGGAGGGCTCCGAGGGCTCTGGCCCTGGGCCTGGGGAGGGAGCGGAGAGCCACTCCCGGCCAGCGCCACGGGGCCCTCTGCAGCGCTGCTCCCACATCTCACTGTCTGCAGAGCCACGGGGATACTGGGGACACCGAGGCGGCTCTGGCCTCCAGGGCAGTGGAACTCCAGCTTCAGCTGCACCAGAGCCAGGTGACCACTGGCCCCCACTCCTGGAGTTGCAGGTTCAGGAGGCCAGGGCTGCGGCTGCAGAATTTGTCTCTACCTCGTTCTGCTGCCGCCACCACCGCACGTCTGCACCTGGGGGAGCCACGGCCCCAGGGAACCCCTAGTGCAAACAAAGACATCTGGCTGCTTGATCCCCGACTGCTGCTCCGGGGGAACCTGGTGGGGTGAGGCCTGTGGTGAGCTGGAGAGCGTCCCATTTAAAGGGAGCACTGCGACAGCGTCCCGGCCTCCACACAGCCCAGAGAGAAAGGGGCACCCAGTGTTTGACTTTGTGGGTTAAGAACAGCCAGAGATACGGATCTTTCTACGAAATCTCACAGTGTATGGCAATCATTGGCAACTGGCTCTGCAGTTTTTCAAACATTCTGCGGGTCAAACAAAATACATCTGCAGGCCAGATTTCACCCCCTGGCTGCTGTTCTAGAGTGCAGATAATGTTCCCATAGAAAGAGGCAGGATCAGAGGACTCCACGCGAGCAAGCCCCTGGGTCCTTTGGGGAAGGATGGTCAGTGTGATCGTGCATCTCCTAGCGAGAGGTCCCTGCAGCCTCTCAGAGCCACATTGAGGCTCCCTACTGGGTCCTCATCACTCCCATCTGCCCCAGCCACATCCTGCACTCCAGTCTTTGTGGACTGCACCTCTCTCACCTCCAAAACTCTCTCCCAATCAAGCCTTTTCTGATCCCCTGGCCCTTTGTGCATGTGGTTCCCTCCACCTAGAATATTCTTATCCTTTCTCCATATATGCCCTGATTCTTACCTGTCTTTTAAGACCCCCCTCATCCAGGTAACTTCACTGACCACTGCGTCCCCACACCTCCACACTGTGCTCCTAACCCACTATGCTTCCATCACTGAAGAAAACGGCCTGAGGACGCATCAGTCTCCTCCACTGACCCGGGTGCTAGGGAGGCCTTGCTCCCTCTGTGTCCCCAGGCTGAACCCAGAGCCTGGGGGGAGGGTGCGTTGGGGGCAAGGAAGGTCTGAAATAGCATTTATCAACTGCTTTTCTCTTGGCCTTGGCCTTCCTCTTGTCCCCTTTCTGTTTGCCATGCTATTTCCTGTCTATCCTCCAAGCCACGACTCAGGCTACTTCCTGTAGGAACCTTCCCTGACCTCCCAGACCCAGGAGGAGGTCGTCCTCTGTCCATCCTGCCCCCACCCACACGCCATCACACCAGGACTGGCCTCCCCACCGCACTGAGCTCCATGAGGTCAGGAATCTTGTGCGATTCATCTCAGTAACACTAACACGGGGGCTGCAAAGACAGAGTAAGCTTGTGGGACCATGAGACGCTTGTGAGACCAAGAAAGGAATTAACAAAACAGATGAATGACTGATCCCAGGTAAGAAATGAGACTGTGGTAATGTGCTGGGGAGGAAGCGTCAGAATGAAGCCGACCTGGTGCTGAGAACAGATTGTCCTCCTGGCCACTGCTCCCGGCTGGTGGGTGCAGAGTGTGTAGAGCGGAAGAGGCAGTGGTGGAAGTTATCTGTGGCAACCCCCCCCCCCCCCCCCCGCCCGGCCCAGGCCCCCTGGGGGCCCTGGAGACCTCAGCCAACACAGCCCCTTGCAGGCCCCTCCTCTGCACTTGCAAGCCTCGGCTGGACAGGTGCTGTAGTTCTATTATGCTCCACCCTCCCTTGGCCATGCTCTTCATTGTAGGCCTCCATCCAGTTGGCACCCCTGAGAAGGGCTTCTCTGCAATGTGAAGGGCCACAGAGAGGCCAGGGCAGAGGGCCTGTCCACCCCCCTCCCCCCCTACAGCAACAGCAAGGTAAGCCAGTGCCATATACTTGAGAGACGGCCACCCCAAGTCCTGTAGCAGCAAAGGTGACCATGAGTCCTAGCCCAATCCCTTCTAGTTTGCTCAGCTGCTGGGCTCCCCGATCTGGTCACCTGGGTTGTCCTGATGTCCTAATGCCAGGCTGAGAAAAGAAGGTGGCCATGTGCTCCTTCCTTTGGGTCTGAAACCCTGCCTTCTACCCCTTCCCTTTTGTGTAGAAGTCACCTCCTCCAGAAGTCCTTCTCTGGGTACCTTCTTTTGTCACCACTGATCACACTCTGTTCTGTGTGTCTGTCTCCACCACAAAGGTTATGAGTTCCTGGCCATCAGGGATTGTGACATCCTGCCCCACGTCCCTGTGCCTGGCACCGCGATTAGCGTGTGAGGAAAGCAGTAGGTACGGTGCAGTGGTTCGCGCAGGGACTCTGGAGCTGCCAAAGGGCAAATCCTCCCTCTGCTGCTCACTTAACTTCCCCAGCGCCTCACAACAAGAAATCCTGCCTTGGTTTTCTAATCTGTAAAATGGGGTTGAAAAAACAGTATTGTGAAGAGTGAGGGAATTAAAATTAATTGGTAATGGTACTTGGTGCGTAGTGAGCACCTGATGAGCACTAGTGAGTATAACGAGGTGGTCGGTAAATGTTTCACACGTTACTGGATGAGGGAAGGGAAAGCAAGACGGGAGATAATTAGCCAAGTAAGTATAAGCTAGCACATTCCAGAGGTTGCAGTGACCCAAAACAAACAGGGATGCCTGCCCTGCTCTGTGGGTACCCTAAGAGTGAGCCGGGGAGAGGAGTGTTCTTAGAGTGCAGTGCGGTGCAGCAGGCCCGGGGGCAGATCTTGGGCAGTGATCTGAAAGGCAGCCCCCCTCCCCCAAAGCAGCCCTGTCTGCTGGTCTCCTTTCCCACTGTGAGCCCGGCTGAGGATCAAGAGGCCTTGGGCCTTTTAAAGGCACAGCCTGACATGTTCCTACAACAATATTGGCCTCTCCAAAGACACTGCCTTCTGCCGTCATTGCAAACAACAGACTCAGACACTAACTCCTACCTGCCGTCAGATGAATCGACAAGGGGGGTGGGGAGGGATGAGTAGTAGTCCAGGCCTGGGGCTTCTTATCCTCACACACTGACACCCCTATAGCCACTGTCCCAGCAAACCTCCACCATCTGGTTTCTGCCAAGGCAACCAGCAAGAGAGGGGCCTAGCAGAGAGCAGGAGGGTGGGCCTCAAAGTCCAAAGGCCTAGGGTTCAAATCCCATCTCTTGCAAGTCTCCTTCCCTCTTGGGGCCTTTGTCATTGTATACGATGGGGTCACGAATCTCTCCCTCACTGGGCTATGGCACAGTGTAGGGCACAAAGCAGACCTTTGGTAAATTGTCCCAGGGGGAGGGGAGAAAGAGGGGGAGCACCTCCTCAATACGCAAGGCAGCTCCCTGGGGGTGAGCATACACTAGCTGTGGACCCAACACTGTGAAAGGGATTCCAGGAGCAACCTGACCTTCCAACGACCCGAGAATGTTGATGGAGACTTGGGCTGACCTTCCAGTTTGCTGTGTTAACGCTAATTGGGGTCTCGGGGTCTAATTGGGGTCTCAGGGTCGTCAGCTTCCCACCCTTGGGGCTAGGCTGTACTTGCTTCCCCGCCTGCACGAAGGCTTCCTCTAGCCTGGGCTCAGTGGCACTGACCCACCGAGTAGGGGTAGGCTGCAAAGTTCAAAGGCAGCTCAGCGGGCAGTGGAGGCCAGGACGGGGAAGGGGGCGGCCAGGAGCCAGATCTCAGTTTGGCGATGAGGTGGGACAGGTCAGTGGCTTCCGGGAGATCATGATGTCCCCTGCTTCCTAGGGTGGCTTCATGCTAGGTCACCGAGAACGATTTACACTTGAAAAGGGTTCCCTGTGTTTCTTTCCTTCCTCCACCAGGCCAAGGTACAGCCAGAGGAGGCAACAGACTGAGAGTCAACAGATCTGCGGGGGAGTTCCAGGCCAGCCCCTCCCCGCTGTGCTGTTCTGGGCTGGTTACTCATTGAAACCGTTTCCTCATCTGTAAAATGGGCATTCTCCTACCTCCCTCGGGGGTGGTTGTGAGATTAGGTGAAGTCAAATGTATAAAGCACCTGACTCAGTCCCTGGACACCGCAGGGCCTCTGCAAACTGCAGCTTTCATAACCATTATATCCTGTTTGGACAGAGGAGTATGCTTGATGAGTCCCTGCTGTCACCTTTGTGGGTTGGCAGTGCAAAGATCCCTGGTCCCTAAGAATTTAAGGGCCCTCGCTCCCCTCCCAGATGAAGTAGCCCAGCCTTTTTGGTCAGGCGCCCTGGGCAGGAGGTGCCCTGGTGTATGCAAATCCTCACCATGCACTTGCGGTCATCTATGCCCGTCAGGTCCTCCTCAAACTCCTTCCCAACCTGGAAGTCCATGATATAGTTCCTGAAAGTGCTCAGCGTGCGGATGATCATATGGTCGCCGTCCTGTACGATCTCTTTGTCCGGCTTCAGCAAGTTGGCAATTTTGCGCAAGGCCACATTGACATCTGCAGGGGGTGCCGGGGAAGAGAGGGGCAGAGAGTTGGCAGGAAAATCCAGAGAAGGGTCCCTAAGGCAGTGGGGACCCAGGAGCCAGCTCCTGGGGGGGGTGGGGAGGACTTTTGGGGTTCCCTGCTCTGCTCGCTTAGCGCTGTCTTAGCCAGCAGCCAGGTCTGTGCCTTTCTCTTCTCTTTTCAAAGAGAAAAAGTCTTTTTTTCTTTTTCTTCTTTCTTTCTTCTTTCTTTCTTTCTTTCTTTCTTTCTTCTTTCTTCTTTCTTTCTTTCTTTCTTTTTTTCCTTCCTTCCTTTCTTCTTTCTTTTTCTTTCTTTCTTTTTCTTCCTTCCTTCCTTCTTCTTTCCTTTCTTTCTTTCTTTCTTCTTCTTTCTCCTTCCTTCCTTTCCTCCTCCTTTCTCTCTCTTCTTTCTTTTCCTTCCTTTTCTTTCTTTCTTTCTTTCTTTCTTTCTTTTTCCTTCCTTTCTTTTCTTTCTTTCTTTCTTTCTTTCTTTCTTTCTTTCTCTTCTCTCTTTCCTCCTTCCTTCCTTTCCTCCTCTTTCTTTTTCTTTCTCTTTCCTCTTCTTTCTTCCTTTCTTTTCTTTCTTTCTTTCTCTTCTTTCTTCTCCTTCCTTCCTTCCTTTCCTCCTTTCTTTCTTCTTTCTTCTTTCTTTTCTTTCTTTCTTTTTCTTCCTTCCTTCCTTCCTTTCTTCTTTCTTTTTCTTTCTCCTTCCTTCCTTTCCTCCTCCTTTCTCTCTCTTCTTTCTTTTTCCTTCCTTTTCTTTCTTTTCTTTCTTTCTTTCTTTTTCCTTCCTTTCTTTCTTTCTTTCTCTTTCTCTCTCTCTTTCTTTCTCCTTCCTTCCTTTCCTCCTCTTTCTTTCTCTTTCTTTCTCTTTCTTTCTTTCTTTCTTTCTTCTTCTTTCTTTCTTTCTTTCTTTCTTTCTTTCTCTTTCCTCTTTCTTTTCTTTCTTTCTTTTCCTTCCTTCTCTCTTTCCCCTCTCCCTCCTTCTTCTTTCTTTCTCTTCTCCTTGCAACAAAGTTTTCTGCCCTTTGAAGCAAAAAGCAAACTGAACCCAGCTCTGCTTAATGAAGTTCCCCACGTCCCGAGCCACCTACGGGCTGCGGGCGCCGCCGCGCTCCCCGTCCCCGGGGCACCCAGCCGGCCACCCTGGGAGCCGAGGCGGCCGCGGCGGGGGCGGGGGCGGGGGCCGGGGCCGGGGCCGGGGCCTCGGGAGGGCTCGGGGGAGCGGGCACAGCTGCTTACCGAGCGCGCGCAGGTACTCCTCGAAGTTCTCGTTGGCCAGCATCTTCCAGTACCCGGTGAAGTCGACCGGCATTTCGGGGGGCTCGGGGGGCTCGGGGGGCGGGCGGGAGCGGCTGCGGGCTCCGCGGGCGAGCGGCTGGCGGCGCGGTCGGGGCGGGGGGCGGCCCGGAGTGGTGCGCCCTGGGGCGGGGGCTCGGCGGGGCGGCGGCGGCTGGGTCCGGGCGCACAAAGCCCGCGGGAGGCGCCCTCGCAGCCGTCGCTCCGCCCCTTCGCGGGGCGGGGTGGGCCCCGGGATGGGGGGGCAGGTGCGTCCCGGGCCCTAGTTTCCGACCTCCAGGTCGCTTCCCGACGGGGGGGGGGGTTGGAGGAGGAAGAGGGGGGAGGAGAGGAGGGGGGAGGGGAGGAGGGGAGGGGAGGGGGAGGGGAGGAGGAGAGGAGGAGGGGAGGAGGAGAGGGGGAGGGGAGGGGAGGAGGGGGGAGGGGAGGAGGGCCCCGACTCCCGGGCTCCTGCGAGATTCCTTCCAGCGCGCTTGGGGTGCAAGAAGCCGCCTCCTGCCGTCGGCCCAGGTGGTTAGGAAAGAGGCCACCTGCAGGCCTTAGTCTGCAGCGGTCGGGGTCAGGAGGGCTGGGTGCTTGCGCGCAGGGCCAGGCAAGCGGGGACTTTCCACCCCCCCCCCCGCAAATAAAAGCAAGGTTGATGTCGTCTGAACAAAGTGTAAAAAAACAAAAACAAACAAAAAACCCCCAAAAGAACCCAAAGCCCTCTGGGTGGTTCTGATGCCCAGCGAGGTTTGGGATCTCCTGCTTCCGGCCAGTGCAGGCCCTAACCAACACCCCTAGGCTTCCCTTTCTTCCCTTTCATCTAAATGGCACCGCAGTGCCCACCGCGCTCTGCTCTGCGCGCTGCGTTTTTCACATGATGCATTCCGGGGACCTTTCTGTTTCTGCACAGAGAAAATGTCATTGTTTCGCAGGGCCTTCCACTGTTTAACCTCGCTTGTCCGCCACTGATGGACATTTGTGTTGTTGGTTCCCGTCCTTTGCCGGTTAGAAACGGTTCCACGATGAAGATCTTTGATCACATTTCATTTCCCACCTGGTGGGCTTGTCAGAGTGCTTCAAAACCTCTCTGCCTTTGTCAGGAAGGAGATGACAGAATCATCTGGGTTGACTTTTTGACCCTCCATTAAAGACAAAATATCTCTTATAAATTGCCTTCTGCACGAATCAAAGCGTAGGTGATGGCAGGTGCATTCTCTTCCTCCCCTAGCACTGCCGTGGCTCCCCCCCTCCGCCCCCCAGCCTGGGGCTCCTGTTAGTCCTCACACTGCATCTGGTGGAGTTAGGGAAGGATGCGCCTTCCTCAGGGTAGGGGCAGCTCCATCCCAGCGAGAGCCTTGGATTTGAAGCCCCTCTGACCCAGCTTGCTCTACACCGGCTTTCTCAACCAGGCACTGTTGCCATTTCGGGCCACATAATTCTCTGTTGGGGGTGGTCTTGGTGGAGGGCTGTCCTACGCATTGAAGGGTGTTTAGCAGCATTCCTGGCTTCTACCCACTAGATCCATGTTGGCACCTCCCACAAGGATGTCTCCAGACATTGCCAAATGCCTGGGAAGGAGATGCCGAATCACCCCTGGTTGAGAACCATTGCTCCAGACAGCTGTCCCCCTATCCGGCTGCTTTCCTCTCTCTTCCCACCTGGCTCTGGGATGCTCAGGCCATCTCTTGTTCTCACGGACCCTGGCTCTGTGTGCGCATCTCAGTGGGACAGCCAGGGCAACCTATCGCAGTCCTGCCCAAACTGAAGGTGCCAGAGGAAACTCCTGTGGCTCAGTCAGGTGGATCATGAGTGGGGCCTGGCATGGATTGGGTTCTCTGTGGCGTCCACTTAGGGCTCCCCATGGCCTTGGGCTTCCTTGTCAGCTTGACTCACCAGAACAGAGAACTAGCCAGAGACTTAAACAGTGAACTGGCCATTTCTTGGTCACCCCCAAAAAGAGTCTAAACTCTTTTTCCTGCTCCCCTGAGTCATGCAGCTCAGCTAGCCGGATTTCTCACGCTCTTTCTTCTTTCTCTCTGTGCTGAGTCTCCTGCGACGGCTTATGCCAACTGCCCAGCATACTGTCTGGCACACAGCAGGGGCCCAGTCAGTTCTGGCTCTCTGCCATGGCCTCAGTGGTCCCTTCATGCTCTGGGCAGAGAGGCATGCCCTCCTCACCTGTCCAGCCCTCCCCCATCCATCCCAAAGGACCAACATCTGGCTTCTCCTCTCTCCTCTGGTCACATTTACTGCTCATCTGACCTCATTCTTCTGAGCTGGCTGGCTGGACACATGGCACTTAATTCAGCCTGGTTGTGCTACATATGTCCCCCTGTGGGTCAGTATGCTCCTGTCCTTCTGGGTCTCCTCCCTGGAGGGCTCTCCAAAGTGTGGCCCCTGCTGGCGGTGCTGTTCCAGCAGCTGGGCGCTGGTTATGAGGGCAGGCTTTAGAGGCAGAGTGCTTGGTTTGAAGCTGAATGAATGTGTCACTGTCTAGCTGAGTGATCTTGGATAAGTGGCTTATCCCTTCTGTGCCTCAGCTCCCCCATCTGTAAAATGCGGACACCCTGATTACGTATCTCTTAGGGAGGTAAGAAGCAAAGGAGACAATGCATAAAGAGGAGCATGACACAGAGTATGCTCCAGGCACATTGCTGTTTGATCCAGGGGAGCCTTATGAGTAAGGGGAAAGGCAAGGGAGAGAGGGTGCTGGCCTTTGCCCCTTTCTGGGGCCTTAAGGTCAATCCAAGGAATCGAGGTGAAAGTGCTCTGTGTCCCGGAATCATTGGGTATCATCATGGTTATCCTTCTCAGCCCTCTCCATCCTGCTTGATGTAATCCATTATTCAGTTAGTGGAGTTTCTTTTTGTCTGGGGTGCGATCACTTGGGATGTGTAAGGCAAAGAGAGTAAGGGAGAAGGGTGTATAAAGAAGAGAGGAGGGTCTCGGTGGAGTTGGCAATCAGCGAGGGCTTCCTGGAGGAAGTGAGGCTCCAGCTGGATCTTAACAACTGCCGGGATCTGAGAATTGAGGAGGAGTAGAAAGGAAGGCCAGGGGGGGGGGGCACAACGGAGTGCCGAGGAAGGCTCTGTGAATGACCAAAAGGGAGAGAGGTGTACGCACTCCACAACATCCTCACTGGGCTTGCTCCATTCCTCAGCCTTAGAGAAGAGCCTCGGAGACCCAGGAGCAATCGCAAAGAGCCACCCAGAGCACGGAGAGGAGGAAGCAGGCCAGTGGGGAGCCAGCCTGGGGCTTTGTGTCTGTCGTGCCACTGGTCAGCCCAGGGAGCACTCCTGGGGTGCAGGGAAGGAGGACAGGAGAGAGCCAAGGGCCCCCAGGGTGAGTCCTGGGGGAGAGGAGAGCTCAGAGGAGCTAGGCAGGAGATGTGTGTTCCCCTGTTGAGTGGATCAGTCTGCTCCAGGGGATAAATTACAGCGAGGGAGGAGCCGTCTCCGCGAGAGGATTCATCGATTGCCCACGAGCCTTATGATCACCTTGCGTGGTGGGCAGTATTGTCTCCGCGTCACCGAGAGGTCAAGCAGCTTGCCGGGTGTCCCCAGGTGCTCGGGGCGAAGGGGGTGGAACAGAAGGCCCTGGAGCAGACCCTGAGTCTCCGTCCGCCCCCGATGGTGCTCCCTGCAAGGTGCTGGGGCGCAGTGGGCCTCCAGCCCCATCCCACCCAGTGCAGGTCTCCCCCACCCAGAGACTCGAGTCTCCTGGCGGGGGACAGGCGGCCACATACTCCTCCCTCGTGCTTATAAAGAAAACCTTCCTCATCTGACATCACACCCCCTGCTTCTCTTCTAAAGGGCTCGTTTTATTTTGGTGACTTGTAAAAAAAATCTTCCCTTTTCCTGTGTTCAAATATGTCTCTGGAGTTATTTTACGGAGAACGACCCTGCTCCAGTCCCTGAGCTGTCACGGTGCCATCTGCGAGGTTAATGTCTGAAGGGATGAGAGTGGCCCAGCCAGGCTGCCTTCCCGTGTCAGCTGTGTTCAGGAGTGAGAGGGGTTGTCAAGAGGCCATGGGGCTGAGGGGCACCGGGTCTCCTGGGGATGGTCTTCTTTGATGCGTTCATGAATATGCAGAAGTGCAAGTGACACACCGTGTCTGCAGGCCACAGAATCCTACACCCACTTTGTGGGGTTAGCCTGGGGATTTATTTCTGTCCAGAAATGGCTCTGCTCAGTGCCACCTTTCATTGACACATGACAATTGTTCCTACAGCTTGTGACACATGCTGCATGGGAAGCCTTCCCTTCCCTTCCCTTCCCTTCCCTTCCCTTCCCTTCCCTTCCCTTCCCTTCCCTTCCCTTCCCTTCCCTTCCCTTCCCTTCCCTTCCTTCTCTTTTTGCTTTCCTAGCTGTTTTATTATGGACAATTTTAAACGCACATAAAGAGAATTGTATATGGAACTCCTGTGGATTCACCACCATAATTCAACAATTATTAACCCACGGCTGATCTTATTTCATCTATATTCCCACCTGCCCCCCCCCATTTCTAAATTATTTTGAAGCAAAGACCACATATGTCCATATCATTTCATCTGGAAACATTTCAGGAAGTATCTCTAAGGGACAGACTCATTAAAAACAATAACACAGGGGCACCTGGGTGGCTCAGGGATTGAGCTTCTGCCTTTGGCTCAGGGCATGGTCCTGGGGTCCTGGGATCGAGTCCCACATCAGGCTCCCTGCAGAGAGCCTGCTTCTCCCTCTGCCTATGTCTCTGCCTCTCTCTCTGTCTCATGAATGAATAAATAAAATCTTAAAAAAATAACACAACACTATTACCACAACTAAAAACCAATAATACAATTCCTTAATGTTATCAAATATCCAGAAAGTGTTCACTTATCTCATTTTTTTTAGTTTGTTTGAATAAGGATCCAAATGAGTTTCATATGTTGCCATTGGTTGATACATAGCTTTTATCTTATGATCTACCTTTTCATTTAAAAATATAAATATCAGGGTGCCTGGGTGGCTAAGTTAGTTGAGCATCCAACTAGATCTCAGCACAGATCTTGATCTCAGGGTCATGAGTTCAAGCCCCACATTGGGGCTACACGATGGGTGTGGAGCCTACTTTAAAA